CGAAAGCAAGAAATCGCAAGTAGATAAATAGGTACCACTTCAGTGGGAAGGTAACAGCCTTGGTGTTTATTCATGCCGGCCACATGACCACGGAAACGTCTTCGGACAGCGCTGGCTCTTCGGCTTTGAAACGGAGATGAGCACCGCAACCCTAGAGTCGGATTCGACTGGCTTTCGAGCAAGGGAACCTTTACCTTTAGATAAAGCTGCACAGCTCTAGAAGTTGCCTTCAAGGCTCATTTGCAGCTTTGCATGCAAACTCCACCTGCAGTCAGAACTAGAAAAGATCCCACTTATCTCAGAAGCTGTCAGATCAGATCCCTCAAGCCATGTCAGCAAAAACAGGCCTCATCTGCAAAGCAGTCCCTACCATATGAAATAAAACGGTTTCTCTCCTGCTCTGAAACCCATCAGTGACCTTAATACAACAAGACCTACAAATCACCAAAGACAACCATTCTTGACACAAACCACAATTATAGGCACAGGTGCAGCCTGGTTGGCAGAACTATTCCTGCAGGCTTTCCTGATACATAAACAGCCTAGAAATGCTTTTCATCAGAAAGCATTCCTCCCAGGGGATTAGAAAACTATCAGCCTCCAAGGGGGTTCAGAACCATATTTCATAGCAGCAAACTATGAAATTACTGAAGATACTGATAGGTTTGCGCAAGGAAGGCCATTTGGGCAAGGGAGGAGTTGGTAGATCACTACAATATGAACAGCAGTGTGATATATATATATATATGCTGAGACTTTGGAAAGACTGGATCCATGTAACATGGAAGGGTATGGGAAAATATGTATATATTACCTATATTACAAAGCCTACAAGTATTATAGTTTGGTATGCTGAAAGATTGTAGTGTGGTCTAGTAATAGCAATGTCAAGATTTCCAACTAGATGAGAGTACAGAGGTTCCTAATAATCACAAACGATAGCCTATCTCCAAAATGATCTTCTGAAATTGCAATGTAATTGTACCCCAGTGCACTCTGATGAGTCAGTCACATTTCACTGCGGCAAAGTGGGGGCAGTGGGAATGTAAGAGGCAGGAGAAAAAAACTCAAGCAATGGTTGCTAACTAGTGAACATTTCAGAGTACCATGGGGAGCTGGGGGGGAGAACTACCATTATATACCCTCACCTAGGCCCAGAATAAATCAATGAGAAGAAATCCCCAAGAGTGTAGGGTCCCAAGACTAAACTACTAGCAGCGAGAAGCCACATTTCGATTCTCAAGAATGGCAGCTCATCTTTTAGCTTAAAAAAAAAACCCTCTTGACCACAGCAGCCACCAGCACGTTCATGGGTCCACCTGGGGACAACCCTCTGACTTCTGTGATTCTGTTCTCCTCCCCTAATCCAAAATGGGGGGCTGCCTCCAGGTTTGTGACCATGGCATGCTACATTAAGGATTGGGAAACCAGGGGAGGCAAGAAGGGCATAAAATTGCCCTGCTGGAGACGACCAAGGTTCGTATGACCCACCATTCTGTTTTCAGCAGCTGCTAACCAAATGCTGGTGGGCACCCTGACAGCCTCTGCTTGCCATTTTGAACCAGCATCTGGTATTCAGATGCATGTCTAACACAAGGGACTCATTAGCTATAAAGGGGAACAACTCATGATTCTACAACCTTCACAAGTAGTGTGTTTAAACACTGAACTTGCCCTGCTCATAGTGCACACCCCCCCAAGCTGACATTGATGACATGTTTGCAATTTAAAGTAAGCAGCATTTTGAGCGTATTTATACCTACTCAGTTGGTGGCATTAATCATCACATAAGCAGCCATCCGGGAGCAGATGTTAGCACGCTCAGATCTTACTTCGTATTCCAGATGATTTTGAGAGGAAAAGCTAGCAGTGAAGCATTAGGTTGAGCACAAGGAAAGTAGGATAAAGGAAGGGGTAGCCATCCCCTGCACTTTTCCAGGGCACACCTGAACCAAAACCTCCAAATTGACTCTATTAAACTTCTGCTGTGACAACACTGCTTCTGCCATTTGGGGAATGCTAAGGATACACAGTTCCTTGCTGAAGCACACTGACTTTAGAGCAAGACTGCAATCAGGATCACAAAATACAGATTAATTCTACCTTAACTGTTAACAGATCCTAAGTATGCTCTCCTCCCTTTTAAAGCACCCACATCAGTGGAAAATCCAGGGTCCTGTTTTTTTTAACCCTACAAGTCAGCCCTGTCCTATTGCACACCACTGCAGAAAAGCTGGTGTAAAGGTGACACAGCGAGACAAACTGTAGTTGTGATTATAGAAATGTCTGCTACACAGGCCTGTACATAGAGTCTGGTTCATATCACTCCATGTAGCTTTGCACATCCACGACTATACAGATGAATCAGCCCTACCCACCAAATCATGCACCGAGCGAACAATTACTAATCGCTTTGCCAGAATCTGTATATATGCAACTAAAAGGTGGTCTTAAGGACCTATTTTTTCCTTTGTCCTATTTGTTGTTCTGACCAATTTGATTCATATACACATTTAAATCAAAATTTGGTTTTCCTTTGTATATTGTGTAGCTGGCCAGTAGAGGGCTCAGCTATCACTAGTCACCATGAAAGTGGCATGAGTTCTCAAGGGCACAGAATTCTCAGAAATACTGGATGACTTATAACTTTTGTCACATTACCCCCCCCCCCCCAAACTCAAAGGCAGGTAAGACATTTATATTAGTATTCTTCAGATCCTCCACCAACTGTGCATTGAATCAATATAGCCCCAAATTCTACCACTGCACTTCACCATCTCCTACTACATAACCAAACTGAAATTTGAATGCAACACTTGCAGAACTTACCGATCACATTCCACAGAGTCAGCTTCACATTTAAACTAGGCTTTCAGCAGGTAACATGTTTTGAGTCTGCCAAGGACATCACAGGTTGCCAAGCTCTACCATCTTCCCAAAGAGCCAGGACTGCTTACATCAACCATTCCACCATAGCAAATTACATGCAGCTCCTTGAACTCTACCGACTTCCAGTGAAGGCAGGAAGGTGTAACCCTCCTGCTGAGTTACAAGCAGCCCACTGCATCTGAGGTTTTAACAGTAGTTTGACCAAAGCTTTAATGTATCACACTAACCTGTTTGTGCACAAACTGGTAGAAGCCAAAGAGCACAGTCAGATGCATGAAGCATGTGTTGGTGCAGAGATAAAGACACTCAATGCTACAAAAGCAGAGCAGGGGGAAAGGCAGCAGTCCGGTTGTCCAGAACATAGATGCATTACCTTGCAACGCAGATAAACCAAAACACAGTCAAAGGTATAAACTACCTGCCAGTATTGGTGTCAGCTACTCATGCTGATGAACAAAGCCTTGCAGGAGAAACAACTGCTTCCTGACATGAACTATTCCTAGTCTTTATGTTCAAGTTTGATAGCAGCTTTGTTAGACTCCCATTGAAATTGTCCTGATGAAATGTAGAAGCCTTTAGGTCTATTCTATAATGCCAAGGTTGAATGAAATGTTCGACACATACACTGATAACATCCAATATGTGTATTGTTTTCTTTCAGTTTGGCCAACCTAGATGTCATTGACACAAACCCTTCAGGAGAAAGAGACAGGCTAGAAGTTCTGTGAATAAAATTGGGGAGTATTACTGATATTGGGTCCTGTGCTAATGTCAACGCAATGGGTATGGGGGACAGAAATGATACCAGGCTAGTCCCTGGTATTCTACCTCCAGTAGGTGGTCCATTCTTCCTGGCAAAAAAATAACCTCATGACCTGAAGCAACATGTAAGCAAGGACTGGCCTGTCCCCCCACCTCCAACTTGTGGGAAGCGTCACTTGTGTACATTCCTGATGATTCACTAAGGTTTTAACTGTGGGTGACAAGCAGTGCTCCTGCAATTTCCCGTTGGATCCATCCTACAAAACGTGAGGATCAGGGTACTTGTTCTACCTTGTCAATCACTTCTCCAGGTGGCTACTGCAGCTCATCCTCCAGCTGCTGGTTCTCATCCAAAGGATGTGTCTGTAAGCCTGGGTTTGGTCGGCAATGGATTATGTGGTGTGTTCTAAAGAGTTAAGCAGAAAATTGAAGCTAAATATGGCAATCGTTTTCTGATATGCAACTTTGGGTATACCCCACTGAATGCAAGAACTGATGCACCTGATGGAGTGGGCTCTGGTTTATGTTACAATGCATTTGCTAGTCTTTAAGGTAGCACAAGCGTTTGGTGCCAGTTTGGTGTAGTGGTTAAGTGTGCGGACTCTAATCTGGGAGAACCCGGTTTGAGTCCCCACTCCTCCACTTGCACCTGCTGATGTGACCTTGGGTCAGTCACAAGCTCTGGCACAGCTGTCCTTGAAAAAGAGCAGTTTGTGTCAGAGTTCTCTCAGCCCCACCCACCCCACAGGGTGTCTGTTGTGGGGAAGGGAAGAGAGAGGAGTTTGTAAGCCGCTTTGAGACTCCAAGTGAAGGGTGGGGTATAAATCCAAACTCTTCTTCTTCGTTTTAGGTGCATTAGCTTAGTACTGTTACCACCAATAGTAGTGCCTTAATCATGGCGAACTGAGTGTAGATGCAATGCTCTCTCTAAGCTGTGGAGTCTTGTGAGCAAGAATTCTACTTTGTGAGCTACTGGCATTAAAGTTGTGAGCAAGTGATTTGGCTATTGCATAAGTTAGTTCGCTCTGGAGCCACCCTTCCTGAGCTAAGACAAAAATGTGTGAGCCGGAGGCTAAAAAACTGTGAGCTAGCTCACACTAACTCAGCTTAGAGGGAACACTGGATGCAACACCTGAATATTGAAAAGCAACTCAAATGCTTAGATGATGTTAGCACCACAAAGGCCAGGGATCTCTAATTGCCTTTCCTTACTGCAGAGATTATAGAAATAAACTGTTACCTTGACAAACAGTCAAAAACAAAGGCACTTGGGGGTAAAGCTCACACTACACGAGACAGACAAAAGGGCACTAAGAAATACAACTCAAACCTTACAATTAGATGTTACTTTTAATAGGAAATAAAAGGGGGATGTGCATAATTCTTAGGGATCCAATAACTTGATTGTTCATCTTTTCTCCCCATGTTCTGAACACCTCTTCAAGAGCAGAAAAATTTCACAATGCTTTTAAACAGAAGAGAAGGCAAGTTACTGGAACATTACAGTCCTTTTTAAAGCAGTACAAATGACAATAGCCTTCAGAGTCCCAGAGATTGAAACTATAAGATTACAAGCATTTAAGACACCTAGTTTTGAAATACTTGCAGCTGTATTCATCAGATCAGTTTTGCTTTAAACAAAATATAGGTAGAATGGAATCTCATTTCTTCATAAATACTTTTACTAGGATGGAGAGTTTACATTTTCTTCATTGGCAATAAAAAGTGCTCAATTCACAAAAAGGGATACATCAAACCCAAACATGCAAATGTCTAAAAAAAAAAAAAACTTTACTGAAACGTAATGGTGACGTGATCAGTAATTAGGTTTATCTTGTAGTCTTTGACCATTAGAGAAAAAGTATAATTTTAATCTGCATGTGTATATAGCCTCTCCACTTACATTATAAAAGGAAGAAGGGGACAGGGCTAGGAAAAGATTTCTTACAAATCAATGATTAAGAATCTAAAACAATGAGTGGTTTTTATAAATTTGAATAATTCTAATCCAACCATTTGGGCGAGATGGGTCTCTTGCAGTAATTTGATACATCTGAAGCAGCAAAAAATACCCCCCCCTCCACCTACATTTTTGGCATTTATGTTGTACAGTTGCTCAAATAAACTTTTCTTCAATTTACAAAGCCGTTATCCAGTGTTACCATGAAATACAGACTGTCGATTCTAGGTAGCAAAGGCTATCTCCAAAACCAATGTTAATTAAGAAGAAACAAAGCAGGGCACCACACTAATTTTGGGAACTAGTACACTAAAAGAGTGAAAACCGGGAGAAGGGGCAGGGGAGGGGAGAAATAAAGTCAAGTTTATAGAAGGAACTAAATATCTGCAAAAAAGCTGATTTTTGGTTGTATACTATTTTACATTTTGTGATCTGCTGCATCTGCTGATTTAGAGCAGAGACATGCTTGTCTTTTCCTTGTGTCCTTTCTATATTTTCTTCTCCCTCCCCTCCCACCCCACCCCCATACCTTACACCAAGTATCATGGATATGAGCCCAAGTATCCCAGACAATCCAGTGAACAGCTAGTGTAATGCACTGGTGTGATGTGTGAGATTTTTTAAAAAGTCTCTCCCTTTCAATCTTCATCAAAGTTCTGTTGTAGAAGGAAGTTGGCTGCCAAATTTTCATTCTTCTCGCATGCAAAATATGCCTGTATCACAAGTCCTTCAGGGAACCCTAGTGCCTTTAACTGTAGGAAGTAAAAAATAAATAAATTACAATTCACATTTGAAACCAAAACCACTTAACAATTGTGAACCCTGCTAGTGCTGCCTTTGCAACACCAGGGCCCAGTCACGCCAAGAGACTATGACACAAGTCGATACTGCAACAGTCCAGCAAGACGACACTTAAGGCCTATTTAATTATCGGATGGGAGACCAGTAAGCCCCAAGCAACTTCTCATCCACTGATAACTGGCCATACCTACCTATATCAATGGGCTGGATTCTCCCTCCGGCTAGTTATGATTATTGATTTTATATGTTTACAATACGTTTTAAAATTTTATTGTATTCACTGAAATGTTGTAACCCGCCCTGAGCCCGTTTACGGGATGGGCAGGATATAAATGCGAAAAACAAACAAACAAACATAAAATGAAGCTCTACTCACCCTTTCTATAGCTTCTTTTTCCTGAGGTGTTACTTGAATATAGTTCATGTGACGGCTTCCAGCTTCCGCTGCCACTCCACCACCACCACCGCCGCCGCCACTGCCACCGCCCCCTTGACCTGACTCTTGAACAGGCTCATTTAACATCTGAATAAAATGCTCTTGATGTTGGCTTATTTGCTGTGGTGCATGGGAGGACAAAAGGAAACAATACACTGAAATAAAGCATATTCATTTCTGCAGACAGCCTCAAAAGTTACTTCCGTTTACACTAACAATGGCAGCCTACAAAACGCTGATAGGGAAAAACAGAAGGGAAAAACAAAAGGGTAACTTGAGCAGAATGTCCTGTAATATTATATCTCTAAATGTGACCAGTGCCAGCTAAAGGTGCCTCATCTTGTTTTACAGCCGCCCCGCACCCCCAATGCATTTTTAGCATCCTTTGTGAAGGCAGCTTAAAATGACAGAGGAATCTCAGGGTGCTTAAAAAGTCACCTGCAATAGCTGAGGATTTTCCCGTCCTATTTGCTGTAGCAACGCAGGTAAAAGAGATGGATTCTGCTGAATAATTTGCCTCATCTGCTGGAACTGAGGTTGATTTCGTAAAAATTCAAGTGGATGTCCTGAAAGGGAAATGGCCCATTTTTAAAGGTATCAGTAATGCTACTTAATACCAAAGCAAGGTATGAAAAGGCTTTGGGCTATGAAAGTCATCATGTTCCGAACATCCTGCAAAGAGTCCACCTCCTGAGGAGACCCCTATTTTTAGTGAGCTCTTATTCAAAACGGGACTGAGGGCAGGCAAAGAGATTCCATGACATGACAGTAATCCTTAAATTTCTGGCTTTAAGTCCACAAGGAAGCACACTATTATTTACTTACAGGAATTTTGTGCTTGCTGCCTACTTGACACAAATAAATGCAACAAATAGAGCAAGAGGGGGACTTTTTAATAAAAGGAATAAGGCCGCGGTAAGATGAAATTGTCCATGATGATGCTTTTACAAAGGAACACAGGTTGCACTTTATGGCAACTGTTTATTGTATGTATTTCTCATTTTCAACAGCACTGTTTTCTGATTCCTGTAATATAGTTTTTGTGTTTCCTGTGTCATGTCTTGAACTGTTTTTATCACACTGTTTTCTTATTTTGTATTCCCATTCTTATTACAGTGATTGTTTATCCTATAACATTGCTATTGCATTGCTAAATTTTGTAATCAACCTTGAGTCTCAGCCAGAAAGGCATACTATAAAATAAGTGAAAATTAAGAGGTACCCTGAGCCCCAAATTAACTTCCTAGGTTAACCAAACTTTAACTTTTTGTTTTGATGCATGAAGTATAAAACTAAATGCGTATCTGAGTACTCCAAAGGGGTGATGCTTACATACAATTAATTCCAAGAGGCTGAAAAAGACCAAGCGATACATTCAACCCCAATTTTATCACAAATACCACTTTCAAACTTAAAACAATTAGCTAAAAAATGTGTGTGTTTGTGCAGGTGCCATCAGGTTGCAGCTGAGTTACAGCAACCCCATTGGTTTTTTGAGGAAACACACATTCAGAGGCGGTTTGTCCCTGCTTGCCTCTGCGTTACAACCCTAGCATTCCTTGGGAGGAATCTCATCCAAATACTGGCCAGGACTGACTCTGCTTAGCTTCTGAGATCTGCTGAGATCAGGCTAGCCTGGGCTATCCAGGTTGGGGCAAAACAAAAACCCCCCCAAAACAGCAACGTAGAAACTCCTATAATTTAGGCACTTCTAGTATAATCTCTACTGCTTTAAAATAAACATGTCAGTAAAGATTCAGTCTGTCTTGTAAACTGCTCTGAGAAAGCCTTTCCTGGTTAAAAAGATATATAGATGACCAAATTTTTAATGAAATTGTAAAAAAACAGCAAGTAATTATAGCCACAGTATCACTAATCCAAAGGAAAAACCAACATGTTCACCGTTGGGGTGCACCAATGTCTCATACTACCGTATGGCCAAGTCTGAGGCCTTCCCCACAGAAGTTCTTCCACCAGAGGCAGGCTCTGATGGGCTGGAAAAAGGCTTCACATCAGGCTGAGCAAAGTGGTAGGAGAAGAGCTGGGATCACACCATCAAGATAGGCCACCTGAGTTCCTCGGACAAAAGAAGGGATATGAGGGTGGAAACAAACCTGCAAAGAAATCTGAAAACTGGCTCTTACCTCCTGTAGAACTAGTAGTAGTAGTTGTAGTAGTAGTAGTTACCGCCGCCGCTGCTGCTGCTGCCACTGCTGAGGATGGAGAAGCACCAGTGGTGGCTGCTTGAGGGGGATCAGCCATACCTTGACTCTCTCTGTCCCCAGGGATTCCCTAAAAGAGCAGACATGTTTCAGATTTTAGGCTTAACTACAAGAATTTAGTTAGTAGCACACACTATGCCAAATATCGATTGAAATACCACATTAACAATCAATGTCCAAATTTTTCAACGTCAGCATTCTCCTGCAATTCCCAACAATCCCAAGTCAACATTGTGAAGGTCCACGAATAAACGCTTGCCTATTCTTCTTCAGACATACCCAAGTGAAAAGAGATTGGATTTAAACCCCACCCTTCACTACCCGAAGGAGCGGCTTACAATCTCCTTTCCCTTCCCCTCCCCACAACTGACACCATGTGAGGTAGGTGGGGCTGAGAGAGCTCTTTTGAGAACTGCTCTTTCAAGAACAGCTCTGACAGAACTATGGCTTGCCGAACGTCATCCAGCAGCTGCAAGTGGGGGACTGGGGAATCAAACCCGGTTCTCCCAGATTAGAGTCCGCACACTTAACCACTACACCAAACCACTAACAATTGTATTTAGAAAAAAGTTTGACTCCAGTGGCACCTTTAAGACCAACAAAGGTTTATTCAAGGTATAAGCTTTCATGTGCAAGCACACTTCTTCAGATACAGTGAAATAGAATTCCCTCAACCATTACATATAGGAAGAGAAAAAGGTTAGTTGCTAGGAAGGGCTAGTTAGAATTAAGACGCATAAATAATTGGGCAATTATAGCTGAGATTGGATGAGGCTGTTAAGATTTGTGAATGGCAGTAAAATAGCATATGAATACAAGAGTCAACAAATAGATGTAAATTTTTAGAACGTAAGAACATAAGAGACGCCAATGTTGGATCAGGCCAAAGGCCCATCCCGTCCAACACTCTGTGTCACACAGTGGCCAGAAATACCAGTGCCATCAGGAGGTCCACCAGTGGGGCCAGGACATTAGAAGCCCTCCCACTGTTGACCCCCCCCAGCACCAAGAAGACAGAGCATCACTCGCCCCAGAGCCCCTATCTATACCTTGTGGCTAATAGCCGCTGATGGATCTCTGCTCCATATGCTTATCTAATTCCCTTTTGAAGCCGTCCATGCTTGTAGCCGCCACCACTTCCCGTGGCAGTGAATTCCATGTGTTAATCACTCTTTGGGTGAAGAAGTACTTCCTTTTATCCGTTCTTCCTGAACACAGCTACCCACCTGAATCCGTCATATTTAGGTGACTGTCACTGCTATAGCTCTCAGGTTTTCAGATATTAACAGTACTTTGGATGGTTGTTAAACGTTTGGTATAATCTACATACCCAAGGGACACTAATAAGCCTACAGCCAACAGAAAATTGTTTTTTTCAGAATTGTCCACTGCAATTCCACCACTTAAGAGACAGGCCACATTGTAAACTAGGAAGCAGACTCATCTTTGCCTCCCCCCCCCCCCAAGAAAAGCACTTGACAGTTATAACCGGCACAAGGAGCACCAGGTCAGGAGCTATGTTTTTGGGCCACCTCCAAGACTTCAAGGCAATATGCTGTCTGAGACTGCAGAAGAAATTCCATGTTTGATATTAAAGATAAGAAATTAAGATCATGCTACAGGCAATCAGGGCACTAAACTCCCAAGGAAGTACCCAGGTTCCCCTGGGGGCATGGACTACCCTGTCAATAGTTTGATTCTTTGGCATCCTGAGGGTCCATCGGAATTCAGACCATGGTTAACAAGCAAGGTCTGCATTAGAAGAACCTGCCTCCTAGGACCATACAGGAAACTGCCTCACAAAACAGCAGCCCCAGGAGACCTAATCACAAGTTAAGCAAGCCCATCAGCCACCTCCTAGCCTTTGTTAGACACACTTGCCACTCAAGTAACTCAATCATCATCTTCCCCATTGTCTCACCTGGCACCCATCATCCCTCACCCCCACCACCATTTTTGGCCATTTTCTGCTTTACCTTTAGAAAACCCCAAACCAACCCACAACAAGCAGGTTTCTAACTTTCCCTCAGAGCAAGGATTTTGCTAAGGTTCCAAAAATACTGCCAATGTGATTTGGCCCCAATAGTGAATGTCCAAGGGAATATAAGGATAAAAATAGCATCCCAGCAAGGGTGAAACTGGGTTTAATTTGACCCCCAAGGACTCTTCCTCCACCACTGAGATTGTTAGAGACCCCCTCCTTCTACCTGCCCTTCAAGTGCATTAGGACTTCTGGACACAGCAACATATGAAACTCATCCTTCTTCCCAAATCTCATCCCTTCACGGAAGTGCTGTTCAGAGAGCATCTGCATCTTCTGCCCTTCTACAACCCCACAACTCTCTCAAGGCAATGTATTCTCACAAGACCACTGAGGGTGGGTTCTGACTTCCTGGACCAGCCTGAGGGAAATATACAACATAACTGCGACAGCTTCCTCTAGGAATCTTCTGATTTGCTGCTTGTTTGTAGTTTCATATACGCCAGCGTGATTGTTGCATGCCATCTAGTTATTTGCATTTCACTAATTCCCCATAGGTAATATTTTATACAAGACTGGGACCCGTGATATTTGCGGGGGGGGGGGGCCGCGAGGCCGGTCCCCCCCCCCGCCCGGCTCCGAGGCGGTGGTGGAGAGGCCGGTCTTCCCCCCCTTTGCTGGGCTCGGTGGCAGCGAGGCCGGTCCTCCCCCCGCCCACCCCCGAGGCGGCGGTGGAGAGGCCGGTCCTCCTCCCGCCCGCCTCCGAGGCGGCGAGGTCAGCTACAGAGCATTCCGTGCGCATGCGCACGGAACGCTCTTGCACTTTCGGGGGGATTTAAACATCCCCCCCGAATTTTTTTTCTACTTTTAGCATTTTTGTGCACACGTGGGGACTGACCCACGTGTGCACAAACCTCCCCCTCCCCCCCCCAAGTGTCCCCCGGAGCGCTGATTTAGCGATCCGCACTCCGGGGGCAACTTGGCTATTAGATATATAGATTACTTTCAATCTACCTGCATTTCCTTCCTTAAGTCTTCTGTGAAGTTTTAATCTTTACTGAACTTGTAAAATTAAGTATTGTGCCTCTCACTGCCTGCCATTCTCAGCTCCCCACTGAGGTACTGCCCAAAATTCTACTCATTCTGAGAACAGAAAAAGGGTCCCAGATGTAAATACCTAGGAGGGCACATGGGAGCAAATTGCTTAGAGAATGTATGTAACACGGTGGACCTAAGAATTTGCTTCCATAATAGCTAAAGTTCTTAAATCCATTCAAATTAAAATCCACACACCAATGAAGCAAGAAATGATAAAGTATTGGAACATACCAAAAACACAGATCAAGCTTCAGGCACTTTAGATAAAAACATTAAAACACTGCAGACAAGTTACAAGCCAATCACCTCTCAGCATCACATCTGCCATAAGGTTAAAACATTCAAATTAGTGTTTTGCAAGGCCTACTGACAACCAGTGTTCCCTCTAAACTGAGTTAGTGTGAGCTAGCTCACAGTTTTTTACCCTCTGGCTCACACATTTTTGTCTTAGCTCAGGGAGGATGGCTCCAGAGCCAACTAATTTATGCAGTAGTCAAATTGCTCGCTCACAGCTTTAATGCCAGCAGCTCACAAAGCAGAATAATTGCTCAGGAGACTCCACAGCTTAGAGGGAACATTGCCAGATGCAAAGTTCTTTGCACCCTTTAAAGCCCTGTGCAAATGCCACCATAATTATTCAGCATAAAGATTTTACAGGATCGCACACACACAAAATTCTTTATTTTAATTACAAAACATATCTAGCCCACAGGATTACAATTCAAAATATTTTAATTACAAAACATTTATCCAGCCTAACATATGCAAAATTACAACATGCAGAAATTTGAAAAGGTAGTGGGCGTTATAACAAAATGACGGCCATTCACAAAAATGATTGCCATGGGGTTGGGCACAAACCATTGGGCGGTTCCAAGCCAAGCATCCAAGGACAGAGAAAGTGGTTTCCAAATAGAAGGACTTGTGGGGGGCACCTCACTTTCCCCTGCATCCTCCTCCCCACACTATTTCCTCTTTCCCCCCCTTTCCCTCCTCCTGGCAACCCCCATATCTTCTCCTCTTTACCTGCCTCATTCTCTCCTCAACTTATCTTTTATTTGGCTCCCATTTCAATTGTATTACAATTTATTTACTTCAATTTTTTTTACTTTTTATGTTTATTTATTTTTTTACTTTTGTTCCATTATAATTTATTTATTTTTATTCTAATTACATTTATTTATTTAAATTAATTATTTTATTTACATTTATTTACTTTTCTCCACAGTGGGGACAAAAACAGCTTACACAATTCTTCTCCCCTCCTTTTTATCCACACAACAATTCTGTGAGGTAGATTAGGCTGAAAGTATGTAACTAGAAATGTAAAATGTCCAGACATTTTGAAGCTCGGAAAAAAACCTGGGGTTTTTCCGTTTTTTCGGGGGGAAATGGAAATTTTCGGGAAAATTGAAATAATGCTACATTAGCATTTCTTATGTCTTTTCTAGATTGAAAGTCATTCTGTTACTTTAGGAACATAAAATATGACTATGGACATTTTTACTTGGCATGAG